TCCTCCCCCCTTCCTCCTCCTCCTCCTCCTCCTCCTCCTGGGCCCCAGTGTAAAGTAGTTCCTGCCCCTTCCTCACCTGCACATGGAAGTGCAGCTGTTCACATGTGACATTTCCCAAGCGGAGCTGGAGACGCACAGGAGAGAGCCTCTGGCCAGAGCCATCAAATGCTGCTCGTGCCCCAGCCGTCCACTCATCCAGCGATGCTGTCATCCACATATCTGAATGGGGAGGCAAGAATGAGGGCTTGCAGGGCTCCAGAGACCAAGGCAGGCAAGGAGTGCAGGGTCACCTAGGGGAGGAACTCCAGTCACTCACAGAACTGGCGGTCCCAGCGGCCAGGAGAGCGGGAGGTCACATGGAAGCAGAGGGTCGCAGTCAGGCAGACTGCCTCCTGGCCACGCCGTCTGCAGTCCCTCCGAACCACGCTGATGGCTGCGGGGGTCACATCCAGTGATGGGGCCACACGGACAATGGGCTGGGAGCTGGGAATGGCGGGACAGAAATGGGAACAGTGAGCGAGGTAAGTCCTCCGAGAAGTGCAGCCCCAATGGGCCTCTCCATGGTCAAAGAACAAGGGGCCAAACGCAGGTAAGTTACCCTTCCCCGAACTCTGTGACAGAAGTCCCAACAGGTTCGATTCCCTGAGCACCAACGGTGTCACAACCTTTGTGTAGATTATCTCACACGATCCTTACAATAACCCTATAGGAGGTACTATACTATTATTTTCTCTTCTTTTCCTTTTTCTTTTTTCAGTTTTAGTTTTTTGAGACAGGGTCTTGCCATGGAGTCCAGGCTGATCCTGAACTCACTATGTAGCCCAGGCTGGCCTTGAACTCGTGGCCACCCTCCTGCCTCAGCCTCTCGACTGCTGGGATTACAGGCGTGCGCCACCACACCTGGCAGGTGCTACAGTTATTTTCATTTTCTAAATTAAGAATAAAGGCACAGGATAAACTGACCTAGAAACCCAAATCTTAACCCCAGAGCCCTTATGACTCCAAAGCTCTTACGAGCTCCGCTGAGCTGCCCACTGCTACCCAAATGGGGAGTCCTCACCTTAGCAGGACGGCTGCCCCCTGGGCACCCACAGCCACATCCACCAGATCATCTCCGTCCAGATCTAGCCGGCCGTCTACGCTCCGACCGAAATAGCTGAGGGCCTGTGGCATGGAGACAGCTGCAATCCGCTGAGAGGAAAAGAGGGAGACTGAGGCAGAGAGTCACACTAATTGGTTTTTCATCCCTCCGGCCAGGCTCTTTCTAACACCTCAGGCAGCAAGGAAGTAAGGGAGACTTGCTTGTATGCAGGAGTCCCTAGTTCAGCAAATCGTATCCTATCCCACCATCTCCAGGGTCTGCCTAGCAGTCCAAGCACTTGTTTGGTTTGGTTCTCAAGCAAAGGGGGCTATAGATAAGCAAAGAGTGCACCTCCCCTCCCTTGTACTGTGCCCCTGAATTATCTGGGGATGCCTGACCTGTGCAGGATGGGGTCTGACTCCACCCTGGGCTCCGTGAAACAGGTACAGGGCGCCCCGGTGCCCATCCTCCAGCGGAGCCCCCACAGCCACATCAGTGAAGCCATCTTGGTTTAGATCAGGAAGTGCACCCATGGCAAAGCCAAAGCGAGCGTCCTGCGGAGGTTCTGGCTGAAGTATCCCTTGGAGCATCAGCAAAGACTGCTGGTAGAGGTGAGGAGATAGAAGGTGTTTATCCGGTAGCCCCAATCTCTCAGCAAGCCTTTAAACATGTTTCTCCCCTCCAGCCCACCTCTCCTCCAAACCCTAGCAGTTCCCAATGATCTTACCTGGCCCACCTGATACACATAAACACGTCCTGTCTCCTTGTTCTGGGGTCCCAGGAACATGGGGGCAGCCACAAGTAAGACATCAGTTGTTCCGTCCCCATCCGTATCCAGTGGGCAGAGCTCACTGCCAAAGTATGAACCAATCTGGGGAGTGGTGGGTGGCAGTGACCCCAGAGAAAAGGGAAGGTGATTGCGGACAAGTAGACTCAGTAGGAAGCACTCACCAGTCTGCCAGCCTGGTCCTTACATCCCTGACAGGCTCTGCCAACCAGAATTCACTACTGACATTTCAGGCCTCCCTCTTGTCCCTGCTCACTTTCCCCCTCAGGCCTGGGGACCCAAAGGTCTCCCGTGGACGCCCTACCTGCTCCCCCTGAAGGCTGTGGGCGACCCTCACAGTCCCATCTTTCTTAAGCTGGAAGGCAATGACTTTTCCTCGATGTCTAAACCTAGGGGCCCCTGAGAGAAAAAGGCGACGTCCACCCGGCAGAAGCATGGAGGAAACAGAGTAACCTAGAAGTGTGCAAACGGGAAAGGAGTTGGGGTCAGAAGGGGGAGGCTCCCTGAAGACACAGGAGGAAGTCCCAGGAGAAATAACAAGAAATTATACAAGGAACTCAGAAAGTGCTGCCTCTCCCTACTTTCCCAGTCCCCTGCAACTCCCTGCTACTCACCCAGGTAGGCTGCGTGGTTCTGCAGTGCAGGGGGAAACTCATCTTCCAGGGCCGTTCGTGGGGGGAAAAGGCGTTGACCTTCTTCAAGCCATAGCACCGAGCCCCCCCAGTCATAGGCCCCCACCATCCCAAAAAGAATTCCATCCTGTGGAGCAGGACCAGATGGGGTCACTGAGAAGACAGGGGGCACAAGGAGAGGACACTCCAGGAATGAGAGGATTGCTGAGGGGACCCTGCGGTCAGTTAGAGAAGCAACGGAAGGTTAAGAGGGAGGTTGCTTAAAGGAAGAATCTGGAAGGGGCCTGGGGGTCAAGTTGAAGGGAGCCATGAAGGGGTCAAAGGCTAGATGTCGTGAAGAGGTCAAAGTCTGTCCAACCTTTAGCTGATGGGTAGAGAAACCAATCTGAGACATTTCCAGCCCAAAGGAGCTTTCATTTTCTCCGTGGGACCCTAGGGTATGAGAAAATATTAAAGTATTATTATCAGGTGAAGAGAGTTCCCACTCTGAGCTCCCTCTAGAATCCCACTCATACTCCAGCACCGCCCCTACCCTCTCCCTCATTTCTCCGGGGTTAACATTACCTTCAAGGCCAAATATCCGGTCTCCTAGTGCATCCACAATATCAGTCAGTGCAGCCTCATCTGTGACATTGAAAAAGAATCGCTCATCTGGATCACTGGCGATTGCACGAATTTCCCGAAGGAAAGAGGTAGGGTCTCGCTGCCGACGAAGGTAGTGACCAAGGACCTGAGATCAGAAGAGCAAGGTGTATGGAATAAGACGTTACAGTTGACACATACCATAGCCAAATAAAGTTAAATATGGCTCAAGTTCTATTTTAAGTTCTTGGCCTTCAAAGTCACCCCTACATCCCTTCTAGATCTATTATTCCATCTCACCGCAATCCCGTAACGTGTCACTTTTCCAGCCTCACAGGCCTTTAGTGCTGCCGGGAGCTCCTCTCCGTCATGTGATTCTCCATCAGTGACCACCACCAGCAACCTGGCAGCCTCTGGCCGTCCACCCCGGGACTGACTGAACCCTTCTGTACTGATGAGAGAGAAGAGAATGAGGTATAATCAGATACACACACACACACACACACACACACACACACACACACACACACGCTCACACGGGAGATCAAGGATTGTCAGTTCTCTGAGACCAGGGATCTTGACTTTTAGGCCATTTCCCAGTAATGTCTAACGTGGAAACTGGCACAGAGTAAGAGCGTAAATGTTTCAGTGCCACAGAACATATAGAATAGCATATCATCGGTGCGGTTTGGTAAAAATTGATTCATTCATAGACTCGGTCAACAAATACCGTGTTTGGGAATGTAGAAGAGAGAGGAGAACGGTCAGGTCTTCCCAAAATGATTAGAATCACGTTTGGAAAGAGCTAGGAGGATCAGTGGTGGAGAACCTAAGGGCTAGGACTAAGGCTGGGGTGTAAGCATAGAGAGACGGAGATAACAGCAAAGACGCAGAGACACAGATACACTTCACAGAAAAGCAGTGAAAGTGATAGCAGTGACAGCCAGTTTAGCCTTCCTCCATGCACAACTGGTGTACATGAAAAGATAAGCATACAAGCCAGTGCATGCCTGTGATCCCAACACCCAGGAGGCTGAGGCAGGAGGATCACTGTGAGATTAAGGGCAACCTGGGCTACACAGTGAGTTCAAAGCCAGCCAGCCCTAAAAGGTGAGACCTTTCTAAACAAAAATAAATAACGATAGCAGCATACAGAACATCTTAGGATGTTTACACCAGACTCCAGACCCTCCCCTGAGCCTCCCAACCCTTCACCACTCTGGTCTTCCACGCTCTCCTTCCCTTGCCTCACCAGGCCACCAGTATGGCTTGGGCAGTCTTTGTTTCTCGTCCCTCCTGCCGACTGAGGTTCCTTGCTGCTCTCACCACTTCTCCCTTGGTTCGGAAATCCCCCAGGGACCACTCGTGTACAGGGCTCTCCCCGTACTGCACCAGTCCCACCTGAGAATAAATGGTGCAACAAATGGAATGGATACAGGAGTAGGGAGAGGAAGGACGAAAAAAGATGTGAGAGAGGAGAGCAGAACGCTGAGAGACGACTGAAGATACCACCCGCGCGGATCTTTGCACCGCCAAGCCCATCCACAGCGCTTTATCTTACCTGTATCTGTTCAGGGTCAATAAACAACCTCCCTACCAGCCTCCGTAGGAAAGTCTGCACTTCAGACCAGGGGTAGATACTGTTGGAGCCATCCAGGACGATGACAACATCCATGTACGTGGGGCAGCCTAGGAGCAGGGGTACGGTGATGGGAAAGAAAGAGGCAGAAGGTTTTCAGCCGAGGGTCGACCGAGGAAGAGCCCACGGGAGGGCACATTCAATTCCAACATTTATGAATCACTTCTTCATGCAAGGGAAATGCTGTGCCAGGCCTTGCATAAGTGAAGAAATGAACACGAGTAAGACGCAACTTACTGAAAAAACAAAGAAGGAAATAAATAGCATCATTCTGGGCTGTGGAAGAATGAAAGATGGCCCATTTTTTCCAGCAGTGGGGTTGAAACCCAGAGCATTGTTTGTGCCAGACGTGTGCTGTCTCACTGGGCTGTACGCACAGCCCTAGAGGGTCTATTCTATGGTGGAGAAGAAAATGAAGTAGAAAATATATTAGAAGGCACTGAAGGGCTGAGGTTGTAATCCAGCAGTAGAGTGCTCGCCTAGCACGTGCAAAGCCCTGGGTTTAGTCCCTGGAGCTGCAAAAAGAAGATATTGAGGACTGAAGATGTTTGAAGAGAAGAAAAGGAAAGAAATTTGGGCAAAGAAACCTGGAAACAAAGGGAAACGGGTGTGAAAATGACGATGGCACAGGAGGATGGGGAAGTGAAGGCTGTGCTCAAGATGCAAGGTGTGCAGAGGGGTGAACGAGTTTTTAAAGTCGGTTAGACCAGACTGTGGGGCCTTGGTGCCTCTTAAAGGGTCTGCACTCTAAACTCTGGAGACGGGGAGTGTTTGCAGGCGCATTATACAGCCTGGAGGACAGCCAGGCAGGCCGCTGCCAACCACCACACCATTCTCCCCTCAATCCTACCCCGCCCTCCCCTCTGGGAACTGAGCCCTCAGGCCTCACGTTGGGCAGTGGGTGCCAGGCTTCCTCGGGGCCGGAATGAAGCGTCCACACGGGCACAAATTCCAGAACTGAAGACAGAGCTGCCACAAGCACGAGACCAGAGAGGGGCACAGGCCTGGGGATGGACAGGGAACGGTTACTGCCGTCTTGGAAGGGCACCCCCTAAACACACTCATAGCCGAAGGAGGCACTGCGGCCATGCCCTACTTTGCTTTCTAGGGGTTCTAACCCCTCCACACCTCCACATAGAATAGTTTCCCTGACCACAGTGCTCTTTTCTCCACCACGGACCTCCAGAGACCCCAGCACCACCCTCTCCTCAGCTCACCAGAAATCCCCCATCAGCATCTGTCTGTAGGAGAGACATCCCCAGGTGCATATTCACAGCAGGATGAGATGAATTTCCCAGTTGATAATCACCTGGTTGGAAGAGGGTGGGAGAGATAAAGATCACGGGGCACAGAAGAGATGCTTGAGTTGAGAGGTTTTTGGAAGAGAACGAGAAGCGATCGGTATCAGATCGGGGTGAAGAAATGGATGTATAAAGAGTAAAAGCCACTAGTGTACAGGCGGGGATTTAGCTCAGTGGTGCCACACCTGCCTCATAAGCCCAAGGTCCTGAGTTCGATCCCTGGTGTGGAAAAAAAAAAAAAGCCACTAGAGTATAAAACACAGAGCTCAGCAGGGTGTCGGGCATCTTCTTACCCAAGTGGCTCTTGGCGCATGGGGCACTGTGGGGGCTGTCTATAGGGCAGCGATAAACATCCCCTCTCCGGTCACCTGAAGGCCCATCCCAGGGGGCGCCCACCAGCATCCTGTGAAGGGTGTGAATATAAGCACAGGGTGAGGGTGAGCCCTGACAGAGGCCAGAAGGAAAGCACATGGAGGCGGCAACTTAAAGAGCCTCAGCCACTTTCAAAAGAACAGGTGACCTTCAGGGGCCCAGCCATCTGGACTCCCCCTTCTCAGCACGATCGGAGTCCCAACCCCGGGTCTCCTCCTCACCATCGCTGTCCACCCCCAACATGCTGTAGGACACTGTATCCAAATTCAGCCTCTGGTGGCCCTGTGAATAGGCGTGGGTGATACACGTCCAGGTTAAAGGGGGAGCCGAGACCTGGGGAGCCGAGACCATGCGGTTAGTATGAAAGGGTCAGCCAATGGCTAGAAAGAGTCAGCCAAAGAAAGGACGCAAGGAGCAACCTAATCTCAGTCTTTCTGCCCGCTTCTTACTCATCCGCCTCCTGTTCCCAGAGCCCCACACAGGATGACCCCTTCCTGTGCGTGGGTCCTGCGGCCCTGCCACAGTGGTACACAGCTGCATTTCCATTCTCCCTCCTGAAATCTCATTCACAGATATGTCTGGGAAGGTCAAGTTACCCTTGTCCACGTCATTCCTCCTACACATCCTCCCCGCCTAACTGTGAGGCTGAAAAGAGGGAAAGGGCCTTGCTGCAGCCCCAGAGTAACCACCCTCTCCGAACTACCCCCAACCCCAGGACCCTGAGAAGGGCAAGAGGACGCTAAGGAGCGCTGTGTGTCTGGGTCTCCCCTCTCATCCTTGACTCGCGGGGACATTATCACACTCTCACTCTTTTTCCAATGTCTAGGTCTCTGGTTGATTCCAGCCCTGGAAACCTTCGTGGTAATTAACAGGGTGGGGTTGCCTGCCCGTCCACACAGTCTGCCATCCGCGCTTGCCAAGGGTCTCATCTCTCCCATAATTTCCCACAATCTTTCTTTTTCCTATTTTTATTCTCTTTTACCTTCCCAAGTTCAAGGGTAAGCCCCTTGCTGACCTCCATGGTTTCCTCAAACTTTGGCCCACACTAAAGGCACCAAACCATGCCTTGGCTGATTCTTCCCTTCTGACCCCAATTCCCTTCAAATCCAGAACTGGTATTTTAGGAAACAAAGATTATAGGGCACTGGCAAGGAAGAATTACAGGCCTTTTGTCCCTCCCAATGGTTCCCTTCTCGAATGTGTCTTGTTCCTTACTTTCCAGCAACTCCCTCTCAGGCTCCTCCACCAACAACCATACCAATGGCTACAGCTCTAACTTAAGCTGCTCGCTTTCAGAAAAATGTTCTCTATGGGAGCCTTTCTGCATCCAGGAAACAGGCAGGGCTGTACGAGCAAGAACTGCAGCTCACTGCTGAGTTGAACCCAGAGTTCTGACCACACACGCAGAAAGGCGGTTATGCCTCATGTCCCGGGACTCCCAAGAGTTGGGAGAAGAGAGCGAGGTTATAGGAATCAGACCGGCCGCGTGGAAGGCCACACCATGTTTCTTTTCTGTCTCCCCATTCCTACTTGGTTAAGGACAAAGGCATTTGATTAGGTACAAATCTTTCACAAGGCCCTAAACAGCTTCAGCCCCTGCCAGGTCTCGTACTGAAGTAGTCCTAAGTGGGAACCTAAGCATCAATTCACACACATGAAATGGAGAAGCGGAATTAACCTGCTACCCTAGGTCCCCCCAAATTCTAACTTCAGTAACGCCAATTCCAAACAACCCAGGTATCTTCTGTTCCCTCCCCAAACCAACAAGTTAACCTCCCTCACCTGTCAGACACACCAGGGGCAAGAACAGGTGAGGGAAGAGGGGAGGCTCCATGCCCGGTCCTTCTGTTGTGTGTGAGAAGTCCTCTGTGCCTCTATCCCTTTCCTTTTCTGTTTTCTTTACTTTCCCTCCTATCCTGCCCCCTCCCACTGGCAGCTAAAAATAAAGTTGGAAGGAATGGGAGGAGTGCTGGTGGGAAACTGTGGGGAGCCCCAGACCAAGGAGAAGACTGGGTGATTTTGTCTATTTGTCTGCCTCGGTGCTGCCCCCTGGAGGCCTCATGTCAACATCACAATTTTTGACTTTTTTTTTTTTTTTTTTTTTTTGGAAGC